GGGGGGGGGGGGGGGGGGGGGGGGGGGGGGGGCGACAGATAGCAGAGTTACGAAGAGGGGCGAGCAAACAGACAGTCAGCTACTCGTTGGAAACGCGAGCACGACACACTCGGCTTTGTTTGTACGAAACGGCTTTAGGCAAGGAGGTGCTGAGTCCGGAGGCCTTTGGGTGACAGGAGCAAACCAAGGCATGCGTCGGAAAAAGAAAGTGCGGCAATGTCACCCCGGACCAGAGCTCTACAGCCGAGAAATCAAGACGGCAAGGGTTATAGGTGGGAACCACCGAGAGACAGCGATGAAAGCAAAACTGGCGTCAACGGTTGTTGTTATCTTCACATTAAAAAACGTTCCGGGCTGCTCTCAGTACCTTCTACTATCCGTACTGGTCCAGCTGACGCGCACGCCTTCGGTGGTAAACACACGCCAACTACAATTGTACCCTAAAAAATATAAACGTGTTTCTTCTGTAGGACTCGCCTGCGCCTCGTGTACAACTCCGGCACTGGGCTGACCATCTGCTCCTCCGGCAGCCTGGACGGGTTGGACTTGAAGTCGAAGTCTCCGAGTGCACGGCTCGTGGCGATGGACATCTGTTACAAACATACCACCATCACGTTCAAACAAAAGGACCAAACACCCGCCCGATGAAACGGTCGGATTTTTAACGCGTGTATGTATCGGAGCAAAAACATTTTTCACACGGGTACAAGTGCCGACATAAAAAACGTTACTTCGAAACGGGTATGGTATGTACTTCTATCGTGTAAGCGCCGACAGATACTCCGCAGAGAGGTCAAGAGCAAGGGTGACATGGCACCTTAATTGCCCTGCTTCTCCCGCCGGGCTGCTCAAGACGCCTGGACTGATCTCGCACGCCCTCTCACCTTGAGGGTGTCACAAACCACGCGTGGGTTCCGGGGGTCCGTCTCATCCAGATAGCCCCCGCTGCGCAGAATCCTCCTGCTCTCAGCCTTGCGGCCGGGCTTGTGGTCCACCGACATGGGCAACTGACGCCCCCCTCGGCTGCTCGCCCCGTGGCAAGAAAAAACAGATTCGGGACGGGACGGGACGGAACGGGCCGGGATGGGATGGGACGGGACGGGGGAGGGGTTTCAGCCGTGCGGCCGGGATTGCGACCCACCGAAATGAGCAATTAACCGACGACCGTCCCGGCTCTCGCGGAGACTGGCCAATGGACCTGCGTCGAAGTCCTCGGAGATATAATCCGGCCGAAAAATGCATACCTTCAGCAGAGAGGCGGGCACACTGCGTAATTTCGGCGATCCACTGGTGTAAAACCTCCGAGGTTGGAGGCCACTTGGCCGCACAACCCTTCTCAGAAGCTGTGAATGAAAGGGAGGTGCGGCTATTGGTCTTGACCGTGTGAGCTTCGGAGAGTATTAAGCCAGTCGATCGCCGAAACTACAACATGGCCGGAGTCCCTGCTGAAGGTACGCCTCACGGCCGGACTACACGAGAGGACTCGATGCCACGAGCCCTACCTACCGTAGGTCCAGCCAAGTCCTGGGGTCTCATGGCTGCCAGGCGGGGGGGGGACGAGATCGCGACCTCAAAGTCCCAGGCCACACAGAACAAAAGAGTGTTTGCGTCGACGATGTCCGGTCTTCGCTCTGAAACCGCTAGACTACAGGATACGCAAGCAAGGCAAGATAGCCTGCAGTGCCTTTACCTGACGTCATTTGTCTCTTGACGCATCCTCGACCATGACGAAGACTTGTTGAGGTTCTACTTTATCAACATGTTCCTATGCCCGCAAACTCTTGTCCGTGGCCTGGATGGCGGGCGGTGGGAGACCAAAACAACCCTAAAACGGACAGCCAGGAGGTGCCCGATCGTCTCAGAGGAGAGATCGATTCTGTGGGGTCCTCGAGTCTCTCCTTGAAACAACACAACAAACATGGGCCAAGAACACTGATCCTGGTTTCAACACACCTCTTTTCGATTGAGGCGTCATCTCGGATGGCCATTCCTTGTGCGATTGTAGGAATATTTTCCTTGTGCGATTGTAGGAATATTGATCATTTCTAAGAACCTGACGTACGACAACGTATGAGTGTCGCTGCGCGGAGCCTTTCCACTGGAACTCCATCAAGGTCTCGTCCAATCCGGCCGTAAAGCGTACACCTTCAAAGTAGGGACTTCGGGTCATGTTGTCATTTGGGTGATCGACCTGGTTCGAATCCTCCGAGAATCCACCGTTGGAGGCCATTCGGGCGTGCGTGCGAGTGGCCTCCAACGCTTGAACCTCGGAGGGTTCGAGCCAGGTCGTTCGCCGAAATTACAACATGGCCGAATCCTTGCGGAAGGTGTGCCTAACGGACGGACATTGTTGTACGAGGACTGGGATGCCACGAGCCCTACTGTAGGCCCAGCCAAGTCCTGGGGTCTCATGGCTGCCAGGCGGGGGGGGGGCGAGATCGCGACCTCGAAGTCCCAGGCCCCACAGAACAGAGAGTGTTTGCGTCGGCCATCTACGCTTTTCGCTCTCCGCTCCGAAACCTCACTACAAGCGGACAGGCAAGCAAGGCAAGATGCCTGTAGTGGCATTCTCTTGGCGACTTTTTTCTTGACACATCCTCGACCATGACGAAGATGCCTCTACTTTTTATAACATGTTTTTATGCCTACAATCTCTAAAAAAAAAAAAACGCGTGGTCCGTTACCTGGTTGGTGAGCGGTAAAAGTAAACCGACACCAATGGACAGCCAGCACGTGACCGATTATCCCAGAGGGGATCAATTCTGCGGGGTCCTCGGGTCTCCTCAAAACAGGAAGGACAAGGAGGAAAGAACACTGCCGTGAAGACTCCCGACACACCCCTTTCGATTGGGTTATCATCTCGGATGCGTAGTTAGCCCTTCTGCGATTGTATGTACATTCTCTAACAAACCTGAGCTACGACATAGCGCGACTGCCGTTCATTCTTCTGAGCGGAACAGTTTCGTTCATACAGCCAGGACAGGCGCAGCAGAGCGCTGAGGCAGTGGAAGTATATAAAACAATCGCGGTTTGTGCCTTAACGAACAAGGCTGACCGACGCCCTGCAAGACTCTCGCGGAGGCTGGCCACTGGACCACCGTCGAGTCCTCGTATATTCCGGCCGTACAACGCACGTTCAGGTAGGGAGTCAGGTCATGTTGCAACCTCGGAGGGTTCAAAACCAGCCGGTCACCGAAATAACGCGGTGGCCCGACCCCCTGCTGAAGAGACATGATTCAAGGTCGGAAAATACGAGGACTTGACGCAGGCCCGTCCGCCCACACGCCTGCCACGAGCCCTAGGCCCAGCCAAGTCCGAGCGGAACAGTTTCGTCCATACAGCAAGGACCGGAACAGCAGAGTGCTGAGGCGG